CCAGGCGTGGTAGCACGTGTCTGTAGTTCCAGCTACTTGGAAGGCTGAGGCGGAAGGATCACTGGAGCCCAGCAGATTGAGGCTGCGGTGGCCAGGAGCATGCCACTGCACTCCAACCTGGGAAATAGAGTGAGACTCCAACTCAAAAAATAATAATAATAATTCACATTTGTTAAAATATTGAAAAATGTTAAAATTCTCCCTATAGACAAGCTAGAAAATATAAAGTTTAGAGAAGAATTACTGACCCATGGTCCCTCCACCCAGAGACAACCACTATTAACATCTCGGTGTATTTTTTTTTCAGTTTTTTTCTCTATGTCAATTTCATTTGTTTGATGCAATGGAATCATTATTTTATGCAGTTTTGTAAAAAAATTCTCTATTCAATATACTATATTTAAATGTAGATATGAAAAGCCACAAAAATTTCCTATTACTCATGATAGAGTTACTTTAAACAATGTCTCTGACTGGGTGCATTTTGGGAGGCCAAGGCAGGATGATTGCTTAAGCCCAGAAGTTCGAGACCAGCCTGGGCAACATAGCAAGACCTCATCTGAACAAAAAAGTCAAAAAAATTAAAGGGGTATAGTAGCGCATGCCTGGAGTCCCAGCTACTCAGAATGCTGAAACAAGAGGATCACCTGAGCCCAGAAGGTTGAGGCTGCTGTAAGCTGTAATTGTGCCACTGCACTCCAACCTGGGCAACAGAGTGAGATCCCGACTCAAAAAATAATAATGTTTTTAAAAAGTTCTATAATTGACAGCTGATCCTCAAATTACCTTTCTGTTAAGGTAAACTCCCTTATTCCCATCATGTCTTTAAGAGATCCCTGTAGCATGAGGAGATTGAAGACTCACTCCAGTTTATGCTTGAGGAGGTGGTAGAGGTCTTTCCCTAGCATTCTAGACTCACTACACTCTGCTTATCCATTTCTAACCATTGCATTTGATTCATTTCCTGTGCTCCACTTCCTGTTTTCTGCCCATCTTAAAAAAGACATAGACCAAGTGCATTATGGGACTGGAGCCTCCTCAGTTCATGCCCCGTCCCTTCCCCTCCCCTTCCATCTCCTTCTGCTCCTATTGTTCAAGGACATTCCTGGGGAAGATGCAGGCAGAGCCCAGCACAGAAGTGAAAAGTCAACTAGTTGTGGCCTTGAGCTAATACATTTGAAAAATCTTGTGTAGGCAAAGGCTCGCTAGTTTTCATTTATTAAACATGCTCACTTTTTCCAATTATATTCTGCTTATGTCTCGAGGATAACAAATGAAGCCAAATGTCCTGCATAATTCCACAAGAACAACATGTGTCACTATCTGAGCTCAAGGCTGTGGCTTTATGCCCAGAGAACTTCCCTACTGTTTACCTGCAGTCACTGTCTTTTGGAACAAGATAGGGTTGGCCACCAGAACGAGCAGCAGGGGCAGGTACGTGGTGATATAATGGGGAATGGCGTGGTCCAGTCCCCTCTCACACCTGAGGGAAGAAAACCAAGTCATCATTCTCGACAGCGAAGTGCTGACTAAAATACATCTACTTATCTGGAAGCTGAGATAAGAGGATGAGAAGGAAAAAGGAAGTGCATCAATCGCTTCTGATTCTGCCCAAAGGAAACGTGACTCATTTCTCGTGTCTGGAACAAGCAATAAATTGCAGGAGCATATGGGAGATCAATCATGTCTCTGTCTCATAAATGGGAGGACTTCTAAGGCATTCCACTCGGGGAGGTTTGTAAGGTCCCTGCTGGGAAAAGGTCAAAAAGGAAAGGACACTCTGGGATGGGGGACTCCCTGCACTCAGTCTGTTCAAGGAAAAAACATGCAAGTCAAGGAAAGACAAAGGTACTCCCTTAACTAGTGAGGGTTTCAGTACTTAATATATGGCTTTGGTCAATGACATGAACAAGATCCAGCCCCTCTCCCCGAGCAACTCACAATCTGCCAGCTGCCCATTTCAAAGGACATTTGTCCTTGTGGTTACAGACAGCAATCTTTTCAGAGGTTCTTGTTGGAGAAAAGGACAAGGATTTCTATCAACAGATCATTGGAATCATCAGTTCCCGTGGGGTAGGGGAGAGAGCCCCACATATGTATGTTACCAAGGTAAGAACCATCAGCTAGGAAATGCATCACATGCCAGGTGCAGTGGCTCACATCTGTAATCCCAGCACTTTGGGAGGCAGAGGCGAGAGGATTGCCTGAGCCCACGGGTTTGAGACCAGCCTGGGCAACATGGGGAAACCTCGTCTCTACAACAAATAAATAAATAAATTAGCCAGGCGTGGTAGCGTGCGCCTGTAGTTCCAGCTACTTGGAAGACTGAGGCAGAAGGATTGCCTGAGCCCAGAAGTTTGAGGCTGTGGTAGCCATGAGTATGCCACTGCACTCCAGCCTGGGCGACAGAGTGAGATTCTGACTCAAAAAAAAAAAAAAAAAAAAGAAGAAGAAGAAAAAGAAGTGCATCATGTAGGAGAGAAGTGAAATAGCCTGGAGGAAAAAGAGAACAGAAAGCAAAGGGGATAGGACTATTCGGGTCAAAGGAAAGAGAGAGACAGAAAAGCAGATGACCAAACAGCCTTGTGGACACAGAGAATGTGGTGACACAAATGAATGAAAGCACTCCTGTTTTCACATTCATGGGGTGGTCAAACAGGAGGGGGGAAATGGCAGAAAATGTAAAAAAAAAAAACAGGTAGGAGAACGTAATACCCATCTCCTTTTGCGATAGGAAGGATACTATGCCACCTTAGGAGGCTGCCACCTTGGAAGGTGCCTGCCTTCTTTTAATAGGCATATCCATCTTCAGCTGTCAAGGCTAATATACAGCCTGGAAAGGCTGGAGGGGAGAAAGGGAAACAGAAGGAGGAAGGGAAGTGACTGTGATGCAAAGGCAGAGGGTAAACAACCAATAGAAGAGTAAGGTTGTGAGCCCAAAGAATGCTGGGAAGTCTGGGTCATTAAGGGTTAAGACGTTTCAAAGGAGCAGCCCCTGAAGACCCTGGGACACCTCCAGCCCTGCAGCAATGGCACCCTTAGGCTCAGATGCAACTTTGCCAGGAGTCTCCAGGGTGCCACAGGTGAGGGTAACAGAGAAACTCTCCCTTTTTTGTTTTTTTTTTTGTTTTTTTTTTTAGAGATGGTGTCTCGTTATGCTGCCCAGGTTGGTCTTGAATTCCTGGGCTCAAGCAGTCCTCCTGCCTTGGCCTCCCAAAGTGTTGGGATTACAGGTATGAACAACTGTGCTTGGCAACTCTCTTTCCAGTTAAGTGCATGCTGTTTTTTTGTTTGTTTGTTTTGTTTTTTGAGTTGGAGTCTCACTCTGTCACCCAGACTGGAGTGCAGTGGCCGCTCCCGGCCACCGCAGCCTCGACCTGCTGGGCTCCGGCGATCCTCCCGCCTCAGCCTTCCGAGTAGCTGGAACTACAGGTGCGCACTACCACACCTGGCTCATTTTTTATTTATTGTAGAGATGAGGTCTCGTCAAGTTGCCCAGGCGGGTCTTGAACCTGCGGTCTCAGGCAATTCACTCACCTCAGCCTCCCAAAGGTGCGGGATTACAGGCTGAGCCACTAAGCCCGGCTGTGCATGCTGTTATATGTTAGGACACTCATCTGTCCTTTTGACGTTCCCTAGGAAAGCAGACCATATAGATGGATCTACCCAGAGATCCCTGATTGAAAAAGCAACACCAATTTAGAAACATTTCATTGAGAAGCTGCAAGAAGCCAAAAAAAAAGCAGCATGAGAAATGACCCACACCCTGGGCTGGCAAACTTTTTCTGTAAAAGGATAGACAGCATATATTTTCAGCTTCCTGGGCTACACCGTGGTCTCTGTTGCACCTTCTCAACTCTGATGCTATAATGCAAAAGCAGTCACAGACAAGATATAAATAAATGGGTGTGGTTGTGTTCCAATAAAACTTTATTTACAAAACCAGACAGAGGGCCAGGTTGTCCTGAGGGCTGCAATGTATTGATCCCTGTTCTACACAGCCCTAAGATCTCAGACAGATAAGACAGATACACTGTCCACCTCTGTTCTCTAGTTTTCCACTGGAAGTTAGAGTATATATCCTTGGAGGGACTGTAAGGCTTTGCAACTGGTTGCATGGATGGGATTTTAAACTTGAGGAAATACCTAAGACAATTTCAGTAGCCACATCTCCCTGCATCTGTGTTCAGAACAATACAAAGTATAGGAAGCAGAGGCATCGAATTTGCTCCTCCCAGGGTTCCCCTCTCTTTCTCCACATCATCTTGATCCCATTCTTAGTATGTTAAACTTACCTGCTCCCTGGAGGAAGCTTGAAGAATAAAAATCAAAGTATGGGTGTGAGGAAGCTGCACCAATACCTATAGCTCTGTATGCAGACTCACGTGGAAGGGGACACAGCATAAGCTCTGTGTACACGCATGTGTACACAGGAACCTACACACACCAACAAGAAAGGTGGAGGCCAGGAATACGGCTCAGGGTTGCAAGGTTCTGTGAGCTCTCTGGGTCTCAGCTGTGGCCCAGTGGTTGGCCTCCAAGGCACCCACTTTGTGGGTCAGGTCCTTGCAAGAGAGCACACGATGGGCCAGGGACTGGACCTCCTGGGATGCTGGGATCTTGGCTTACCTGGACACGGAGGGGTAGTAGAGCATGGCAGCGCCCTCCACGCAGAGCAGGGTGGCCAGGCCCCACGCCATGATGCGGTACAGCAGGATGGTGCTAGGAGACAAGACAATGGTGGCACAACTTGGAGGGCTGAGAGGCCTGTCACAGAACTGCTAGAACAGCGCCCATGCTCGGAAAAAGTCAGGAAAATGTACACAGAGCAAAACCCCTCTGCAGAGTTTTCTCATGCTGCTGAGGTGGGTTGTTTTTATTGAGGTAAAATTCACATAACATAAAATTAACTATTTTTGAACAATTCAGTGGCATCTAGTACATTTACCATGGTGTGCAGCTACCACCACTATCTAGTTCCAAAATATTTTCATCATCCCAGAAGGAGACCTCATCGTCATTTCATTATCCCAAAAAGAGACCTCATTCCCCCACTCCCAGCCCCTGGCAACCGTTAATCTACTTTCTGTCTCCATAGATTTGCCTCTTCTGGACTCTTTTTTTTTTTTGAGTTGGAATCTCACTCTGTCGCCCAGACTGGAGTGCAGTGGCCACTCCCAGTCACCGCAGCCTCGACCTGCTGGGCTCCGGCGATCCTTCTGTCTAAGCCTTCCAAGTAGCTGGAACTACAGGTGCGTGCTACCATGCCCGGCTAATTTTTTTGATTTATTGTAGAGATGAGGTCTCGCCTGCCCAGGCAGGTCTTGAATCCGCGGGCTCAGGCAATCCACTCACCTCAGCCTCCCAAAGGCGTGGGATTACGGGCTGAGCCACCAAGCCCGGCTATGGACTCTTCATGTAAATAGAAATATATGCCATGAGGCCTTGTGTGACTGACTTCTTTCACTGAGCATGATGTGTTCAAGGTTCATCCACGTTGTAACCTGTGTCAGTCTCCCTTGTATGGCTAAATAATATTCCACTGTATGGAAGGACCACAATATGCTGATCCATTCATCCATCAGTGGACATTTAGGTTGTTTCCACCTTTTTGGCTACTGTGAATAGTGCTGCTATGAACATGCGTGTACAAGTATTTGTTTGAGTTCCTGTGTTCAATTTTTTTGGGTATATACCTAGGAGTGGAATTGCTAGGTCAAATTGTATCTTATGTTTAAATTTTTGAGGAACTGCCAAACTGTTTTCCTCAGAGGCAGTACCGTTTGACATTCCCACCAAGCAATATACAAGTGTTTGAATGTTTCCATATCTTTGCCAAACTTATTTTATAATTTTGATTATACCTATTCTAGTGAGAGTGGCTGTCATTTTTGAGACTGTATCTAAACAGAACTCACTTTTTTTTTTTTTTTTG